CACCGCTGAAGCATAGCATCAGTGCTGGTTACAGTGGTTTAGCCTGTCCACAGTGATCAGCTGGGACATCTTCAAGGTTGACAATGAGTGGTCAATTTAAGCTACCAGCGTCTACGGAGCAACATTTCGTGTAGTTCTCGGTGTCGGCTGCAACAATATTTTTGGGTCTCTCCAAGGTATTCATCAAGTAGGTAAGATGATCATCGTGCCCCATAAGCCATAAAACTACGTCTGTCTATTAATGCAGAACTCTTACTTGAATTACCTACCATTTCTACTTAAGTTGAATCAAAATGATTGGTGGTTTAGAGCTGGGCTGTTGGACAAAACGCGGACATCACAACACAAAGACTTGTCACACCACTTGTTGTGTGGCATTCGTAAAGGAAGGGAATAGCAGTGCCTATCCTCGAAAACTGATTTTAGCGATTGGATTTCAGATAACGAATAAGAAAGGGGAAAAGGCAGAAGGAGGTACTGTTGTTGTTAAACGTTAAGAATTACGTACCCTGACTGCATAAAATAACTGGAGATTAATGCAATAAGAACAGCTTCCAGATTTACTTTGCGTATCTGGTAATGATGATGTTAAATCAATTCGTTTTTATCTTTATCATCTCGGAGCAAAACGTGATGACGGAAGCCAAGCAAATGGGCTACAATCAGCACCACTGACATCAGATGACAGATGGCAATCTTTATTAACTCTCCACTTGCTTTTCTTTCACCTCTTTTACATGGGTTCTAAAAAATCTCACTATTTGGGATCAAGTGAATGACTTGCAAGTGGAAAGGAGTCTAGCCCTCCAGGTGGCCCTCGTAGACTTCCACGCGATGACCACTTCCCTATCTAGCTATCACTTTTTAACACGACCACATAACAGGTAGATAAATGGAAAATGTAACTGTGATAATTAAGAATCGTACTTCCAGTACTTAAATATTCCACTGAAGTTATGTTCCCTACAAAGTTATGTAGCAGCTGAAAAAGGAGCACAGAATTAGTCATAAATTGTTCCACCCGATTCTAATGGTGATGCCTTTCACCAAATATTCGTTGAACCACGAGGCTTTGCACAAACAGCTTTGTATCAGAGCGGATTTCTATATCCTCCGCTCCCATTACCTAGCATTGAGCGCCCGTGAGCCTCCCTCACTAGTAGTCGGATTGGCTACTTCAAGGTAAAATGACATGCCAGCTGAACAAAGTAGTGGGTGGTCTGTGCTACCAATCAGAGGATAGTCGTTTTTTCTTACAATGTCCAACTGAGTGGGGAGAAGTTGAAGTCATTTGTGAATGGGGTGACACTACGCGCGGAGTTTCGGTAATGGTACGGGGAGTTGGCAATATCTATGGTCGGCAGAGAGAATGCAAATATGCATGCAGCCAGTGCCTAACTCCTGATTAAGCACAAATCGTCTATCCATATGTGGGTCATTCGTAGTCTAGGTCCCCACAACTCTCTCAGTTTCTAAGGCTACGTCTAACACAAATGCGCGAATCCGTTACCCTCTCTTTTCCAGTCATCCGTGTGAGTGTTTAATGGGGAGAGGAGATGACCACCGCAGCCTCTACAACACTCTTTTGCATCCACTTAAATTGGTCAAAGAAGAATATCATAGGAATTTAAAAAAAGATTAGGCACACTATTCCTGTATAAAAAAATCACCTAATCATTAAAAATACCTAAACTTGAAATGAAAGTGCTCGAGGAAATCCCCTTGGACAGTACTTAGAATACGCAGGAGCCTAATGAAGGTAAACCTGCTCTTTTTCTCAATTTTCGCGTGCCTATTAGGCGGTAAAGAAGTTGCCTAGCAAGCGGATTTATCACCATCCTCTATCCTTGGCAGAATGGTTCTTCAAATATTCATCATCATGGGAGAGTTTCGGGGAATAATTTTCACTTTCTTCGTATAGTAATGGCGGAAATAGACCAAGTTCGAGTGAATTTTAGCTTCTTTTTATCTTGAATAACTCAAGAAGGAGGTAATTTCACCCCCAAAAACTAGCTGAAACACCCAAGGCAGCAGTAAGACCCATTTTAGATAGAGACCTCACTCCTGAAAACAGCACTGCTTGTGCTAGCTTGAGCACTAGCTGTCCACATCCATCAATTTCCACTACCACCAACTCCAAACTGACCCATTCGCATGCAGTCATGCATTTAAGTCTTGCAGAAAGAGGAAAGAGGTCTTCAAGAGCGGAAGTACGAGGAAAATTATGAGGAAGGGGGGCGAAGGTTTAGGCAACTCCTATCCTAGACCCCATTTCAGCTGCAAGTCAGCTATTTGAATTTCAAGAAGTGCAGAGCCTTTCCCTCATCTGATTCGAAGCCAGTAAGTGTAGCCCATCCTCTTGGCTTCCACCGCAATGCTTCTTTTTAAGGTAATGTAGTTATCAATGAATCATTCCGTCGTCATTTCCAACTTTGTTCGATTCACCTGGAAGCTCCTCCTGTTGTGGTATTCTCCAGTTATTTTACCTGATAGGAATGGGTAACTCTTCATGACTATTACTAAAGAGTCTCCTTCTGCTACTATTCTTCGCGGTGAACCTAACGCAACAGATTACACGACAGGGATCTTTAACTCCGAAATTATGTTAAATGCGTTTCTCTAAACACACAAGCTCGAATTCCATTTTATCGTTTTTATGTAAATGAAGGAGAAATGGTAGAGATCGTAGTTAGGATATCTGTGTTGATAAATTGTGACAGTCCGTGTCTTATGAGACATAAAAACAAACCCACGCCGTAGGTGACAAGGACTGATTGTGATGTCCCAGCCTGAGAACTGGACAAGCTCCTCATCACATTTCATGCCCATATAAGGTGATATGACAACTCATTTTCAACCAAGAAGTTGACAAAAAAACAACTATGGACAGGTCAAACAAGTGAGGCATGCACAAAGGTAATGCTTCTGGCCATTCGTGCAAGGCGAGAGGACAGCGCTTATTTGCTCCAGTTCAACTTCTAAACAAGGGTGTAAATATAATTTTTTAACATACCAGAAGGCACACAGTGATGCCACTTGGCACATATTATTCTTGATATAACTACTTACAAGCAGACAGAGGGCAAACGATGGCACAAGTTTGTCTTCTTGAAGAACCATTCTGTGACCACCCTAACAATGTGCCACAAGTCCTGCCGAGTTGCCGACCGTGTCAAATACCTACTCTCAAATTATCTCTAAGTAAGGTGAAAGGGAGAAGTGGAGGGGTGACCCCTCAATTCTTTCATCCATAACTGACCTGATCCACGCAACTAATCTGCTAGGTGACTGTAAATGGTTGTCGAAACTAGGCATCATCATTGCGAGTGAACAGGTTTGCATGCCAAAATCTCTTAATGCGTAAAAAAATAACTACTTTCTGCTTATAACTTTTTGTTTTTAACCCTAAGGGAAGTTTCTTTTTCTCATAGTGCAAAATTTACCATGACTATATGTGAACGTTCCTTACTTTACATTTTCAGCAAATTGTTTAGGCTATTTTACTAGTTGGCCTAGCTTTATTGCACAGAAAAGTATATTTATTTTAGGACAAAGCTTGTTTGGGGAAAAATAATTTATTTTAGATGTAACTGAAAGTAGGATCTGTACATGTGGATGTATTATGCGTCCAGATGGAAAGCAGTGGTGGAAGATGAGCTAGTAGACCCTACTCAAGTGCTTGCACATCAGCTTCAAAGCCTGCCTACTTGTTTTTTCTTCTCTGTCATGTGATCACATACGATATGCGGCACATATTTGGGGAAATAAAAAGCGATGACCAGGGCTTGGTATTTTTCTAGCTTCTAGAGACAAAATGCAGGAAGGATTTCTTACGGCTTTTTTTCTAAATGGAAGGAAAATATAAAACTGGCCGAAATTATTGTCATACCCCGTTGATTGCTGAGTGTCGAATCACTCTACATAACAGTAGTAAATAGCGCAGATTAACACATCAAGCACAAGTAAAGAATTAAGTAAATGCACAAAATAGTCATGATTATTACCTAAACGTCATAAATTTATTTAAAAATTTAATGGTTAACTAAAAAATAAAGAAAATGATCTTCAAGTGGTGGGGGTCACACGTCATGTATGCCGTCATGCTTTGACAGATTTTTTACCTAGGCGTTTGGTTGTATGAGACACTAAAGTCTACGCAGACTGTGCTTTCGCTCGGTCAAATGGTCTTGGGTTCGACTAGTAGCCTCTCAGCCCATCTCTATGTCAGTAATATATCTTCCTTCATGCTCCTATGACGTCCGGACCCTTCAGGAAATACTCTGGGCGCCACGACATATTTGTAGCCCATATATTTGGTCAGACACTACAAATCACACAATCCTTATTTATTTCACTTTTAAAAAATACTGCTAATCTTCTCCGTCCTCTGTGCGCCCTGTGAAAAAATTCATCTATTTCCCTTTTTTTCGGCTCTCAACCTTTGATTTTCTCTCCGGTAGGGCTGACCTTGTGTTGGCAGTAATCTATATGCTACACAAAAAAGTCCCCTCTTAATCCACTTCAAATGATTCATCATCTGACCAGCGTACACACTTTAAAAAAAGTCTCGGAGAGCCTTTGAATTTGGATTTTTCTGTGACATTTACTTAGGGCACTTAGAGGCACATAGCTTATTGATGTAGGCTCAAACAGCACCTGTAAATTTGGATTCTAAAACGGCTCTATTAAAAATAAAAAAAGCAAGACATGTACATAAATAAGTATAGTCGTACAGCGTATTTCTTCCCACCGAGAAAGTCAAAAGTCACTCGCTTATGCCTAACCTTGACAAGATCCTGTCATTAGTGCAGAATGTTGGACTGCGTCTGTTACTCTGTCGATTCCGATGACAACCACGGCACATTGTGAACAGAATCCGTCTATATTTTTGCCAACAAATAGCATAAATCGAAAAGTTCGCCAATGAGTGTAGAGGGGATCCAAAAACAGCTAGGGGGTCAACAACCTACCTCTAATGAGTATATGACACATGACACTACTCAAAAGCGAAGACGTTCACGGGGACTAGAGGTAGCATTAGGGTGGTAAATACTACTGTCACGACTAGCAGAACTCTTGCTACCTTGAATCTGTTGGAGTGGTGTCTCAGGCACTTCCTCGTGCCCGACGGACAAGACGCTGCAACAACTACCGCCATTCGATGAAACATCTCTGAGTTTTGAATGCTCCGAGAAATTCGAAGGCTACATATCATAGTAATGAGAAGAGGTAGAAGAGTCACGAAAACTGCGTCAATTGTGGAATGGATCATTTTCAGTAGATGAACGATACTTGCAAATGTGACACCACGGGATTCTAGTGTTATGTAGGCCATGAAGGGAATACGAGTAATGACTGTGGTGATTACGCAGATAGAAATAGAAATGTTGGTCCTAGTCAAGCTCTACCACCGCCTAGATTGTAGGGGATAACAAGTAATAATATAGAGCTCAATGCAGATCAATACAACAGTCCATTTATGCAGCATCTCGAAGATGTTAACCAAAGTACTGACTGGCAGGAGGTAGGCAATTCGGCGACAACAGGCACCGCAGAGCCTCATGATCTGCAGATAGAGCAGCGAGGCAAGAAGAAAGACAGCATCGGCAACCGACATAGTCTGAAGGAGGCGACGAGTTGTGTGGGGTTTCAGTGGTCCCTTGAGAAGAGGATAAGGCTCACCACACTGGATGCTATGCCAATGAGGGAGACGGGTAGAGCCAGGTAGGTAACCAGGGTGGTTTGATAGATCAACAGGAATCGCAGAAAGTTAGAACCATTGGACCAGAGCTAAAAGTCGATACATTGCCGTAACCTACTGACTAGTGGTGGTGTAGTTGTGGAATTCATTTCTGATATGGCATTTACCCGCCCCCTTGGTGTATACCTCTCAACCTAGCCTTTGATTGGCTGAATGGCGTTTGAGGATGACCAACTGGAAGTCGTGATTTGGAGGGAAGTGTCATTTCCTCAAATTTAAGAAATTTGTTTTTTCAGCAATTTGTTTGGAGACTAAAACAGGTTTAGGATTCGGCAAAGTACTTTTTAAATTGTTCACTATCTATGTTATGCTCAATTTGAGGGTCATATCCAGGCCATCCTCTAATCTCTCTCATGCCTTTTGACCGGTATCCTTGATGCGATTTAAAGTCACTTTTAATATAATCTACCTTTGATAATTCTTTAAACAAGCATAAGGTAAAGTGGAAATACCAAATCAAGTAGCGAAATCATTTTTGGCATTTAAGATATCGCAAAAACAATTCGATTGACGAAATAATCTAACATAGTTGGGGCCAATTTTTATGGCTTGACATTTCTTTGCTAGTAATGTTCATTTTGTATCAGAAATGTCTTGTGCGATCAGCGCTGAAGTCATCAGCTTGTTAGCTGGAGGGCGTTGTAAGTTAGCTCGCTGATTTAAGGTTCTTCAGTAAAATTCGTGGTAAATGCTGATAGTAGGTATGCATCTTGCGGAACCAAGAGGGAACACTTCATTGTGGAATAGCAACTTGCATGGTACAAGGTGGCACACCCCTTGATGGTTAGAGGACCACTTGGAAGAATCTCTGGAGTTCATCATTTGGCTTACCGTTAACGTTAACTAGACTTGTTGACCTCCACCAATGCTCACAATGGAAGAGGTAGGAATTGTACCATATTCTCCTTCTAGGTGCCTCTTTGAATCAAGTCGAGCACTGTGACGCTAAAGAGACATGATAATTGAATTCAAGAGGGGAATTTAAGACAGTGTAGAGAGGTGGTAGTTAATTGAATCATAAATTGTGCTACGGAGCATAAAAATAAATGTCTGCAAAGCTCCATTAAATAGATGGCCTATTAGTTTTTCTTGTCTGCCATAGAAACCAGCTGCAAAAATGGTTGAGATGTGAGTGGGAGCAATCAGAAATGGCTTAGTTTACCGGCGGTAGGTGCTGAAAGAGGATAAATTTCTCGAACTGCCTAAAGCATGCAGGCACATGTTAAAAAGGTTGTAATTTTGGAACGATGCTGTTTTAACTTCAACCTATTTTCTTCCTCTGCAGCCTCCTCTGCATTCGTGATACGTCAAAGCAGCTGGGAGGCTATAGAGAATACCCATGGCGAGTATAAAACAAGCATAATAAACATAATGCTCGCTCATAACACATTATTCTCATAAAAGTTTGCCTGATTGCTATAAATACCATAGAGGAACGACGGTAACACTGCAACGAGGAGTTTGTGCATTCACGCTACTATTTATCATTTAGTAGAACGTGAACATTGTCCTACATCATGGTCAAAAAAGATTTGCTGTGATTTTTTCTGCAATTTTTACTTAATGTGCAATAATGCTTATAATTCGTTAGTCGAAGAAATGGCCCATCTTTATAATGCATTGTTTCAGCTCCATTTAAGCGTTTTATGGGTCTTGTTAAAACGCTGCATTTTGGACAGCAGACAGGAATTGGAAATTTATGCCGAGACCGGAAGTTATTGAAAAATTTGGCAGTTTACTGTTTACCTATAGAATATAAAATTACTAAATTTAACTTCTAAGGCATGTGCAAGCACTTAGAAAGTCATTTTGCGATTGTCATGTCTAGATCGTCAGGTGACAGAAAAATTCTGGTCCGGATCATTGGCACGACAAGAAGGCTGCATTGAGTCATGCATATCTGCAAGCCATACGTCAACTGGTGCAGTACCGGTTTCGCATATTTCTTGGCTGTGTCTGTCAAGTGTGATTCAAGCCTGCTTACTTGAAGAACTGGGCGTAACTCGGCTTTCAAAGAGCCAGATGTTTCTTTTCGAGTTTGACGCTTTAGCATTAAAAGGGGGAGACGGCAAAGTGTATATCTCAAAAAATTTATCAAAGCGACTTGACTCTGGTGCTAAGTCATTGAAATGGGGAGTGATGTGGATTCGGAAGGATCTTCAACCCTTGACGAAATGCATTTTACATTAATGTGTTAAGAACAGCTATCATCGTGTTTGACATAAATGGCTGAGAAGGGAAAGAGGCGTGATGATAGCTAAGCAAATGGACTCATGCAAAGGTCGGGAATTAGCAGGTTGCGCGACAGCAAGCTTCACACAAGATGACTTTGACCCTCCGCCTTTCTTTTACTTGTCTTCGGTAGACATTATTTGCTGACTTGCTCGGGGCAAGGAATGGCGAACGAACGCATCATCGGTTACCTCATAATGACTTACTCCCTACTCTAATACCTCTCTATACTCCTGAAGCAAGCACCCTTCGCATGCTAAAGTCAAAGGAGTATCAATAGGGAAACGCCTTCTTGCGGACCAGTCAGGAGTAGCCAACCAGTCAGGAGGAGGACTTCGTTATTGTCGCTAAAATTCCTCGTGATTTACGCGATTGTGGGAAGGTAGAGAGATGATGCCGCTTCATCTCAGGCACTACTTTCTCCAGATTAGTGTTACCTTTATTAAAATTGGGACCTGACAATGACATGATTATCTTTTAGGTAGAATGGACCGTGTCAAAGTCACATTCATAGGCTTTAATGGCAGTCTCCAAAAGGTACGGAGACTGTCACATTCCCAATCGAAAGATCCAAGAAGGTAGATATGCGAACAAACAACTTTAGTACAGCAAATCTCAGCATAAGGGTAACCTCGATCCTAGGTTGTTTGACAGTCAGTGAAAATTCAACCAGCTCTGGAATTAAGAGAATTTGGGCTTCCAGAACAGAAAACTTCAAATAAAATACTAATAGTGTCTTAAAATTCCGGTAGATCTAAAACTCTACTACCAGGCATCATTGTTGATGCTTCACCCAGCTGCTATCTCCTAAAAATAGCGCCTTTAAAATCCCTGTCAAAAAAATCCGTTGACGCTCCTCAATGGGAGAAGATTGCAAGCTCTGCTTGACTGATGTGAGTTGTTCATTTTGGACTTGCTGTGTGTGAAGTCGTCTATATCGGGCATTCCGTTTTTGGGGTTCGGCTCCACGAAGCCTTCTTTTACCAATTCTCAAATTAATTTCACGTTATGTTTCTGTCAAGACTTAAGATTTCAGTGGGCATACCAATTCTGACTGTTAGAAACATAGTTTTTGCATTCTCAAATCAAAAGTTATTATTTGACGTCTAAAACCCATTCGGCAAGGATGAATGCCGACCACTTATCAGTTACTTTGAATACCTTGACCTGAAGATGTCGATTGGGAGCCGTTTGAGGGTGGAGGGTGAATAGAATGTTCTAAAGAAATGAGTTTAAATGGTGATGGTCTTGATTGCTTTCTGAAGTCACTGCTGGAGAATATGAACATGTTTAGAAAACAAGTGATCATCACAGCTACTCGGATGCTTCATTGTCCTACCGAGGAATTCTACCTCGTAGGAGTAGCTTTTTGATCGTGTTGGTTAATAGGCTCTCGGAGGGAGGGAAAAACTAACTGCCCACGTGGTCTGCCAATCAGATATGACACCATGCTGGCACTAGTAAAATCGACCGATTTAACAGCTTGAAGATCCAAGTATCCTTGGAAGCAGTGTACGCTGCACCTCTCATACCACCAACCTGTTTGCCATACACGACGAAGTTGAACCGGTCATCGTAAAATATCCCTTATTTCTGATATTCCATCTCACATTATTGAGGCGCCCGCAGTAAACGCGTCAAAGCAAATCGCAATTTGATAAAGCCACTAGAGGTCGAGTTCAATGTCAACAAACAGCTTAGCGGAATTTTATGCTCTTACTCAAAGCATGAGTCAAGAATAAAAGCACTTTTTCTGAGAGATAATAGCCACTGAAGCCAAGGAGTGGAATGCCACACAATCCAAACAATGCCCTCACGTTTGATCTGCAGTCAGAGAGCCAAGTGGTGGATGCAACCTAAAAATATGATGCTAACGGGATATGCCTAACCTAATCATAACTGCAGTAATTTTTTTAAAAAGTAGAGTTTTACTCCCAATAATGAAGCAGAGTCTATTCCTACAGACTGACCTTTTATTTCACCCAATAATTTTAGGGAAAATTCGTTTTTTTACTTTACAAGTGGATTAATTAATAAGTTTTGGTCTTGAAGGGCGCTGAGCCTGCCCTCCCTGCCTGCGATCCTTATCGATTATTGGATTCCACCCCGCAGTGAGCAGCAGTAACGCGCACGCCGCACAATAATTGATAAACGTGTTGGTGCGCACAGAGGGTAATAAGTGATACGCTCCCCCCCCTCCTCCACCCCCCCCCAGATAAATGTGCTCCCTCCGGTGTGCTTCTCAGGCAGGCACCGAGTGCTTCATAAAAAGGCGCCTTAAGTACCGCAACGCGCATTCTCTCTCTCTCGCCCGTTGATGATGACGGTGATTAGGGTGTATTCGAGGTTTTTGTGTGAGAGAGGGGAGTTTCTTTTATTTTTTGTAGAAACGCAGTCTAATATTTGTAACGTC